CAAGAGGGTCTTAGATGATAGAAAGCAAGGAAATGGCATCTGAGCCCCAAACTAACATGGAACTGAAGTTTGCCAATAACCTAACTAAGATTGGAAAGAGACTCCATGGAAGCCTCCTAATCAAAGCCTTGAACAGGGGACTTTTTTGTTTATTTGTTTGTTTTACCTGATGAGACCTGTGTTTGACTTCTAAGCCATAGAACTGTGGCACAAATGGGTGTTGTTTTAAGCTTCTAAGTATATGGTAATTGGTAATAACCGCAATACAAAACTAATGCATTCATACACCCATGTTAACATAGAGGTATGCATTTGTATTTTTAAAAACTATGTGTACACATGCACATGTCTCAAGAAAAGTATCATATAATATATAAATCATATTAGAGAAAATAGAGCATTCAAGGGCCAGATATATGTATCCTTATAGTCAAATGGTCTACTGTTTGGTCTGCCTTAGACCATTTTTAACTTCTTCAATGTAAATTACAGAGAAGTGCCGCATGAGAAACTGTTATACAATCTACTTTTGAAAGGTGTTGACTCATAAGAATTGTCAAATGTTCAAACTCATCTTCAGCTTCCACTAATGCTCTTACCAAATTTGGCAAATCTTCTAGCCAAATTTTACCAAATTTGACAAATCTTCATGAAGATATGCATGCATCTGTGCTTACTTGTGTAGAGTGTATATAAATGGAGGCATGTAATTATCATATTTCAAAATATTCAGTATATTAAAAATAAAACTGGAAATTGGCCCTGCTAAAATACTGACATCTCCACTTTTGGTGGACTGGGGCACAGCAGGTGAAGGACATGAGGAGATGGTTTCTGTCCACGCTGGACCTGACCTGATCCCACAGTGACATCTCTTGTTGGTTTTCCTTATTTGTGTACCCCCATATTTTGAATGTTCACCCCTGAGTTTCCCCAGAGGAAACACCTTCTGTTTCTTCCTTTTCAAACATTCTGATAAGAATTTAATGAAGCAGGGCTGGGGATTTATAGCTCAGCGGCAAAGCGCCTGCCTGGTAAGCGCAAGGTCGTGAGTTCGGTTCCCGGTACCGGAGAAAAACCAAAAAAAAAAAAAAAAAAGAAGTTAATGAAGCAGTTATGGGAGTGACCACTCTGCTTGCTTGTTTTGTTGCAGCCCCAGCCTGGGATAGACAGCTTCCCGTAGTTCTGGATTTGTGTGTGCTCTTCTTATGTAGCCAACACAGCTATCTTCTGAGTTTTAAATCAAAGTATGGATATTGCAAAATGCTGATTTATCGTAAGCAAGAGCTGATGGGAAGCACAGCAGTGGAAGGATGGGCTGTGGTGAGTCTGGAGGCAGGAATGGAATAGAAATAAGAATTATAGAGACTGGTTGAGAATAGAATCAAAGACATTGAAAAACAAAACCTTTAGGAGTAAAGCAAGAAAGGACACTGGTAGAATAGTTTGGAAAATGCTATTTGGATTCACATCTAGGGAGACAGATTAGATATATTTTTCTTTGTTAGAGAACAGGGAAAATGAAACAAAGCAAACAGCCCAGGGAGTCAAATGCCTTCCTGCAAGGGCAACTGAAGTCCACACCTTGAGTTTATAACTTAAGAAACAATAAGGGTATACCTGATTTTTCTACAGATGAGAGAACAGTGAGAAGGTGGCTTTCTTATCTGAGGTTGGACTCTAGGTGGATGTCTTAAGGTAGAGCAGATGGATTCAACACACTTTCTATGCTGTGTCCCTTAAACTTGGTGACCTGCATAGCCTTTTGACCCAAGAGTTGTATAAGGAGGACTACAATTCCCAAGAGCAAGGCTTTAAATCAGAGCAAGGGTTAGGGCCAGCTTTACCAAGAGCATCTGAGGGAGGGTTCCTTTTGGTGCTATTCCTGCCATTTAGCTTTGTAGGCTCTCCTGTGAAGGATAAAGGTGATTTAAAATGGTGCACATTCTCATTTTGCATTTGAGTCAGCTGAATCCCGCATCAGTACCAAATTTATCCAACATTACATAGTTCGCAACATCCACACCAACTGATCTATAAACTTTACATTTCCTCAAGTCTTGAAGCCTAATTTCTATTGCCTTGTTTCCTGAGGATAACTTTTTGTGCGTGTGTGCGCATGCGCACACGTGTATTTGTGTTTACGTGGGACGCCGATATTGAAAATATCATATAAATGTTAGAGTGAGAGAATATCTGAAGACTCAGTGGATGTTTCAGTTAGAGCGAGGGAGCTCACTGGGACATACTTTATTTTCAAGTGCATGTTGAGAAATCATGTACAGGAAGGATTTGCCTGTAATCCTTGTGATCCCAGAGGGTAGATGCAGGATTAAGATGTAGTCATCACAAGAAATCAGATCTCTTTGCAGGAAAAGGAAAACTTCCTTATAACTTAAATAGCCCAAACTACCATTGACTAATTTATGTGATCAGGAATTTTAAGTCTGCAATAATTAAGTGAAAGCTGAACGATCATTTGCTTTGGATGCTGTACAGAGAATTATAGAATTGGTGCAAGAGTTTGCATTGTGTTTGTGCTGCATAATCCCAATTTTTTCAAATTTAGAAAAAAATTTTTGAGAGAGAGTTTTACTGTGCAGTTCAAGCTGTCCTTGAATTCACTATGTACCTCAGGTTTGCGATTCTCCTGCCTCAGCCACCTGAGTGCTGGAAATACAGGTGTGTGCCACTATGCCTGGCTTGATCACCCAAATCTTGAGAATTCTTGTTTCCCTCAAAATTAAAAGTATTCCACTGACACTTCTTTATTTTCTTTATTTACTTTTAAAAATTTTATTTTACTATTATATGCTTGTGATATATAAAGTTTACATTTGTTTCAGGGAATTAGTACATGTAAACAAAATATATTATATATGTATATAAAATCTTGACTTTTTAAATTCCTTTCCTTTCTCCCTTGCCCTTTCCCCTCTTCCCCAAATCCTATTCTCCACCTCCAAAGTGGCTACCTCCCTGTTTCCTATCATCTCTCCTGTGTTTTACTCTTTAAATTATTTATATTCTGGTTTCCATAGAAAAAGTCATGTATTATTTAATCTTCCATGTCCGATTTATTTCACACAATATTATAGTCTCAAGATCTATCCACTGTCTTACAGATGACTCAAATTTATCCTTCATGGCTAAGTAATACTGCACTGTTTATATATACTGCATGTTTTTTACCCATTCACCTGTCAGTGGGCATCTAGGTTGTTTCCATAGCTTAGTTAGTGTGAATGGCACTGCTATCTACTCTAGCTTTTACCTTTTTCCTCATTTAAAGAAAAATAAAACCCCTTTGGTAGGCAAAGACTAACCCTGCTGGGATCAGTCACCTCCTTTCATTTCCATTGTGGTATACTCATCAGTTTATTTCCTTTTCTTTACCTTTCCAACATCTCCTCCAGGAAGATTTTCTGTGTTTTAACATGCCATGTGCTTCTTTACACTGAAATTCTTTCATTCCACTGCTGCATGTATTTCCATTCTGAATCATTCATGAAATATGGAATTGTTGAGCCTTACTGCTTCCACTTTTCCAATTATCTCACTCCTTAAACTCAACATCCTTCTCTCTCTTTTTTTCTCTAGTATATTTGGGATTTCCTTAACAAAAATTGAATACAATGTATTTAAGATATCCAAATTTTTTTGCAGTGCTTAAGGTTGAACCCAGGACCTTGCACACAGTATCCCTTCTTCTATATTACCCAACTTTTTGGAGCATAATTGCTCTTGTGATTTTTTATACTTTGGACATATAAATTACTGTATAATGTTCCCTCTTTTTTTCTGATTTCACTTATTTGAGTCCACCTTTTTTCTTAATCTAGCTGAATCTATCAATTTTGTTTATTTTTTGATCATTATAGAAGTTTATTTCTTTTTCTATTATAAAGAGAGAAAAAATAAAAATGATACAGAATTTCAAAACAGGATGATAGGAACTTTACAATGGTTATTATAATATTGTATATTGTTATCTTCAAAGTAGTTGCTCAGATTACCAGACACAGGCATGCAAAATTGATCAAACAGCATAAGCTCTAACCGTTCCTTTCAATGAACAAATAGAAATTAGGAGTACAATTTTTAGCTATCTTATGTATGTACACATCTTTTTTCCCCTTCATTCTTTTCTCTTTTCCCCCTCTCCCAGGTGTTCTTTCCTTTTGAGCAGTTTCTTTCCCTTTCACTATATCTATTGTACTCTTTGGATCTTATTTACTCTTTCATTTTCTTACATGAGGGAGACCATGATAAACCAACTTTGACTTTTTTGATTTTGTCTTATTTTTCTATTGAATTTATTTTTGCTCTGATATTTATTATTCTTTTTGTTCTGCTAACTTTGGACTTAGCTTGCTCTTTTCCTAGTTCCTTGAGGTTGGATTGTTTAAGACAATGTTTTTCAATTAGACATTTACTGTTTTAAACTTCCTCCTTACTGTTGCTTGTTTTATGTCCCATTCAGTTCTCTTAGGCTGCAGTCTCCTTCTCATTTGTCTCGAGATATTTTAAAATTTGTTATCTTTTCTTTGATATAATGGGTGTTTGAAAGGGGGTTGTTATGTTTACATGCACTGTTGACTCTTGAACAACATAGGTTTGAACATATGTCTACTTATACACAGATCTTTTTGTTTTTAGATTTTTGAGAATTTGAAATAAAAATCTCTCAGATGTATCATATAGCCTAGAAATCCCCCCACCCCCAATTTAAGAAAAGCTTTGGTGTGTTATGAATACCTGAAGTAGATGTAGGTAGTGGTCTAGTTCATGATTTACTAATATAAAATATACACAAATCTCCCATAAAATGTTAAAAATTTATCAAAACACATAGACAAACATTTAAAGACCTTACTCAGGCAATTCATAATCAAGAGAGATGTAAACAATATAAATAATATGAAATTGCTATATTAAATAATACCTGCAAAAAATTAACTTTAGTCCATATTAAACTATTTTAATATTTTCATTCTTACCTCCTGCTGCTCTTGAGGTGAGCTCCAGTGTTGTGAGTGTCTGCTTAAAACATCACATGATGCTAATCATCGCCACATGAACTGTTCATCGTTGGGAAATTGTGCGGTGAAGGAAGAAGTGATCTCTTGCTGTTCTTGCATATCTTTAACTGTGTGTAATTCATAATACATGCAAAATATGTGTTAATCTGTTATCTTATTGGTAAGACCTCTGGTCGACAGCAGATTACTAGTCATTCAGTTTTATGCATAGATTTCCAACTGTGTGGAGATCGGCACTCCTAACCTGTATGTTGTTCAATGTTCAACTGCATTAGTAATCCCGAATTTTCTTATTGTTGTGGATTTCTAGTCTCATTGTGTTGAGGAAAGGCAGATGAAATTATTTCAATCCTGAGATTGTTAAATTGATTTTTTGACCTCATACTCATTTGAGGTCTATCCTAGAGGACATTAAGTGCACAATGGGAAGACTGCATACTCTTCTGACTGAGTGTTCTGCTACGTTCATTTGGTGTATAGTGTTGCTCAGTTCTGCTTTTTTCTTTATTGATATTCTTTTTGGGTGATCTGTCCAGGAGAGTGAGCAGTATAAAAGTCTCCTATTATTGCACTCATACCTATTTCCTTCATCAGATTTGTGGATGCTTGCTTTATATATTTAGATATTCCATGCTAGGTGCATATATAATTATCATCCTTACATCTTTCTGTTGAATTCAGCTTTTGGTCATTCTATAATTACCTTTCTCCTCTTTGCATTCTTCAGGACTCTTTCCTGCAGAGGATGTTCTCCCTCAGCTCCCTTGGCTTCTATGACAGGTCCATTCTGTTCTTTCTCTGTTCCCTCACATTTCCTAGCTGTGGTTTCCCAGGGAGCAGTCTTCTTTCATTGTCCCTTTCTGTATTTTTCCCCCTCCACTATGTTATATGTGCGTTCAGGTTCAGCCATAGACCTGTATGCAAATGGCTCTCAGATTTATTAATTTAAGTCTTAGCTTCTCTTCCAATTACTGATTCATATTTTCAAATGCCTGCTGAAGAGCTCTCCTTGGTTCCTGCAAGTGCCTCAGAGTTAGCATAGTGGAAACACAATTGATAGCTGCCTTCTCCCCCTCTAATGAGCTCCCCCACTCCGTCTTTAATTGCTCTTCAGGATACCATCATTATTCACACGATTCAGACTCAAAATTTGGTAGTGAGAGGTGATTCTTTTTCTCATTCCATAATCAGTGCCCAAGCTTTACATCCTACCTGTGATTCCTTTCACATCAATGTCCTTTTTTCTTCTTACTATCTCTACGTCAAGTTCTCATGTGAGGTGTTACAATGCCCTCATCCATAGTGTCTGTGTCTGCAGACTCTGTTCTCTTCACTCATAAGCTGCTTCCCCTGAAATTATCATTTTCTTTTGTAAACACCATCTCTGGTCTCTTTCTCTGGAGAAGTTAAATATCATCTGAAATTCAAGGTCCTCCACAATATAGGACCCAACTGTATATATCTCAGCTACTGCTAATAACATTACTTAGCATGTGTGACTGTTTTCTCTTTGCCACACATTGTGCTAAGTGACTTTAATACCCCTATGAAGTAGGTGCTATAACTATAATTTAATCATTGTGATATTGATTACGTACCAAGGTCACAGAGTTAGTAAACATTTGAGCCTACATAGGGTGACTCCGGAACTCATAATCCCTTTGATGTCCTATTGACTTACTGACTACTTGTACCAATTTTTAATATAGAATTTTAAGGCCTGTCTTATTGCCAGCTGCTGTATCTTCCTCTGATTGGAATGTTATTTACAGATTTTGTATTTTAGAAAAAAAATTCTCTCCTACAGATTCTTTACTAAATCCCTCCTTTCATTTGAAATTCCACATTATTTACTTTGTACTTTTATATTTAGTTTCTTTATCATAATGTGCATGCTTACCTTTCTAGTTCTGATATTCATTATCTCCTTAAAGATGGGGATTATCTGTCAATAATCTTTTACTCGAGTTACTTAGAAGACTACCTGGCCTAAAACATGGTCATAAATTCCTTTAAATTGAATTGCCTGCTAGCATGTTAACTAGATATCATATTTAGTCCTAGTTCAGTACAGAGTACTTTTCATGCTTTTATGATGATTCCTTCAAGCACTAGAGGTTAGAGAACCTCAATGGAGCTTTGTCTTACTTCTTTCTGACAAAATACCCAATACCCACAATTTAATAAAAGAGGAAAGGTTAATTTTGGCTCACAGTTTGTAGAGGTTTCACTTCATAGTCCACTGGCTCAAAAGTCTGGCAGCGTGGCAGAGGGGGTTTGCTTATGGCATGGCAGTGAAGCAGAGAGAGATCAAGGGAGGAGGAGGGAAATACACCCTTCCAGACCACGCCCCCCGTGACCTACCTAGTCCTACCAGGCTTTGCCTCCCAAATCACATTTAGTTGTAAACTGATCAGCTGGCTAATCCACTAATGAGTATCCCCATGATCCAGTCCTATCTGCAAAACCTCTCCTGTGAGTGCATGGGACTTTAAGGGGACATATACACGTCATCAATTTACTTACCTTTCAAGAACTGCCATTCTAAATGAGAGGGAGAAAGAGTTTCATTTCTAGGACAGATGAGCGATGACTAAAAGAAGTGCTACACCAGTGTTCAGAGAGATGGAAAAATCTTTAAAAAATTGGTTAATTAAATTTAGTAGCCTAATTTTGATCTCTTAAATCAGACAGAAGAGATTTATCTCTATTCAAGACCGTGTATAATAGCCTGAGCTTTTTCTGTAGAGAAGATTGTTTTTAAGAAATGATTTTGAGGGTTTTTTTTTTTTTTTTTTTTTTTAATTCTGCTGATCCTTAAGTGTTGGGAGGGGAACACAGACAGTGAGGAGGTGATGAGAACTTGGTTACTTACTGTAGGTCTCCATGTCTCCATTAACCGACGTGGAGGGAAGTGGTTGTCTCAGCTCTTATCTGCAGCAGCGGATGGAAGCTGACAGCACTGTCCTGCTTCAGAGGGTGGGTGGTGGGATTCCCTCCTCTCGGGTGGAACTTCACGCATTCTCTCTCTCTGCATCCAGTTTTGTCTTTGCAAACCTGCCTGAGATTATTTACATTTATGATTGTTTCTTTATCCTCTTTTTTCGCTCAGCCCTTTGATTTTCTCTCAATCATACTTCTTATTTGTCAGTTGTGTTTTCTAAGAGCCTTTAAGTTAGTTTGCTGTGTGATGAATAAATTTTTTTTAATGTTTTGTGACAGAACATTTCTGGGGCAAAGGAGTGATAAATATCAAATCAAGTAGAGGCTAGAAATTTAATTTTCCCTATCAGGGCCAATCTGTGCTTCATTTTATCCTGACAAAAATTGATATTTTATCCCTGTGATAATAGAAGACTCTGATTGCAGTGCCTTTTCATAATTCTTTTAAAAAATCCTTTTTTCTTTCCCCTGAGAAACTTGAATCAAAGCAGAGGAGATTCTGTGCACATTGTACAGAAAGTTACCTTATATTTCTTCAGCCTTTTGTGTCCCCAGACCAGGCAGTATTTCCATAAAGTCACACAGGTTCTTGATTTAATATGTTGCTTTCATGCTTTTATCTCTGGGTGTCCTCAAGAAATTTATCTAGTAGACGCAGTGACACATTTTTCCCTTTGCCCTCTTTATTTAGCCCCATTTCTTAAATTAAGGAAAGCTTGGGTTGTGGTGATTCTAAAAACTAACTAACTTTTTAAATTAACTCATTAGAATCTGGTTAAGATTAGAGAGAGACAAAACAGTACTCATTTAAACAATGCTCATAAAGGACTTACTCTGAGTCAAGCAGTGTTCCAGAGAATCCTTTGGTTAATTATAGCAGATGTATGATGTCAGTTCTGTTTTTAGACTCACTTCACAGTTGAGGAAACTGAGGCACAGTGAGGTTAATCACCATGGCTAAAGTTACTAGCCAGCGGTAATGCTAGAATAGAAACGCAGGCGGGTACCCGATCTGTGCTCTTCAGCAAGCCACCACGCTGCCTGTGCATGAGGTTGTTCAGGTGAGCGTTTACCCACCACAGCATCATCCACCTCAAATAGAGTAGGAAATATGTGGGTTCATCGAAATGGAAAGTCCTAGGAAAGGAACTTCAGGTCCGAATGACCTCTTCAGTGCAAGGGCCGAAACAGGTTCATTAGAATTCAGCCTTTGTTGAGGTCAGCTGTGCCCCATTGTTTACTGAGCTGCTTTTTAGGCAGGGCATTTATACATAGAAACTTTCTTCACCCTGAGAGATCCACATTTATATTTTACCAACCAGCAATCCTCGTGTGATGAGAGAGCATCTTTGCTAGTAGACTGAGACAAGTCATAGAGTTGCCTCTTGGCAGAGTGTTTTACGGGTCAGTTTTTATTCAGTCACTGGGGTAGGGAGGGGTGGTGATAGAAATGTAACTTTCCCAGGCTTGAAATCCACCTATCAGGTCCTTTGAGCATTTGGACTGGAAGTGGGGAGGCGGTGCTTCACCTAAGAACGTCACATTTCTATTAACAGAAGAAAGGGGATAAAGAGGGAGGCTCAGATATAGTCAAGGTATATAATTTTGGGGAGGTTATGTCCAGCCTCCTCTCCCCATATTTACATACATCATCTAAGAAGAGGCTTTTCAGACACTTCTTTGGCCTTCAAACAAATGACACTGATAGGTGAAGAGGAAAAAGCAGCAGCAAAAGAGAGAAACATACACAAACACCAAGAAAAACCCATGTTAAAAATGATGTACAGAAACAAACTCTAAAATATGTAAGAAAGATAGCCACCACAACCAAGAATAAAACCAGCGTGCTCAAAGTGGTAAAGGAGGAATGGCAAGTAAGAAGTGCAAGAACATATGAAATGGGACAAAATGGCAGAAATTTAACAAGGCTAAGTGACTGTGAGAAATAACTAATGTGTTTATTTTTTTAGAAAGTAAATGGGAGAAATTGAATCCCAGACGCATTTGGAGGGAGAATTAATAAATTGGAAGAAATCTATTCACAAAACAGCACAAGAAAGAGAAAGTATCTCTCTGCAAGAACAGTTGGAGATGGAGAATATTATTGGGAACATTTGTCTGCTAGGACTTCCAGCCAGGATGGAAAGAATGATAGAGGAAAAGGAGAAATTATAGCTGAGAATTTGTACAGGCAAAGGGAGACTAGAGTCGTTTCAAAGTGCACTCTGAAATACAAATGGGAGAGATGTTTCACACATAGAAACACTATGGAAAATGTCTAAAGATCATCACAAACAGACATGGAAATCTACTGCTTTGAAATTAATAGAGAAAAAAGAGAAAGCAGACTGTACAAACCTACACCAATTTAAATATACATCAGGAACCAGGGGAGAAAGGGCAAAGAAAAAAGTTTTTGGTAAGCACAAAATAATTTGTTTGAAATGAGTATATATAATTATCAGTAATAGCAATTAGTATAATTGGATTAAAGTAAATGCTTTTGTCTGACATTATGAGGTTTATAATGAAATCTAAAAGAGAGAACTTTCAGAGGCTAATAAAGAAAAACTTAAGATAACCTGTAGGGAAAAGTCTTAAATATAACCTAAAGCATGCTGCAGTAAGAAAAGTGATAAAGTGATAAAGGAATAATGGCAAGAAGTGCAAGAACATATGAAATGGATCAAAATGGTAGAAATTTAACAAGGCTAGGTGGCTGTGAGAAATAACTAATATGTTTATTTTTTAAAAAAGTAAATGGGAGAAATTGAATCCCAGATGCATTTGGAGGGAGAATTAATGAATTGGAAGAAATCTATTCTTAAAGTAGCATAAGAAAGAGAAAGTATCTCTCTGCAAGAACTCTCAAATGAGAGTTTAAAGAAGAATATATTAATAGGGATAAATAGGCTACTACATACGAAAAACTATAACTCTGCATATTATAGAAAAAAGAGTCAATTATAAAGTGAAATAGACAAATGTATGTAGTACATGATTAAATAAATATAATATATTGGAACATATAGAGTTTTACAGTCAAAAAATAGATGTGTGAAATCTAGGAATATTCTAGATCAGTGATGGAGAACCTATCACACCTGTGTCTCAGTGGGCTGTTTGTATTATTGGAAGTTCTAAAAGATTCGCCATCACTGCTCTAGGTCACAAAAGAGAAACCTTTAGGCAGTTTCTAAGAAATCAGTAACAGGTTTTATGAGCAGAAGGCAATTTAATTTCATATCAATCATAAAAATACTTGGAAACTTAATTCTGCATTAAGAAATCACCTTGAAATTTCAAACTGTCATGAACTAAAGGACAATAAAAATACTACCTGTGAAAACATATGGAGTGCAGCTAAACTGATAATTAGAGCAATTTTCTGTGCATTAAGCTGATATTGGGCATCCTGGATAATTTCTCATGTGGCTTGGGTTGGGGATTCACTTCAGCAGCTACCTGTGTGGTCTCATGAATATTGTTCCATTTTCCAGACTGCTCCTCATCACAGCACTATTCCCATTCTTGAAAGGTGTGATAAATAGTACTTGCCCAGAATCCATCTTCTGACCCCCTGTGTGATCTGACTTATAATCTTTTGTCCCTACCTCTCTGTTCATGGCATGACTCCATCTGCCTTCCCACACAGTTAATGGTGACCGTACCTAATTGTTTCTCCCTTTTTCACTAGCAAGAAAGTGTTTTAAGGAATAGGTTTTTACATCCCCCATGCTATGCCAGAGACCTGCATGGTAGTTGTACAGTAAGCATTGAGTATCATATTGATTGTCCCTCTGCATGGGCTGTTGGGTCTATGGGTCTGGAATTCAGAGTAGAGCTCAAGGCTGGAGAACTGACCTTGAGAGTCATCAGCATTCAAATTGTCTTTAAAGTATAGTGGTCGGGGAAGATCATTTATGTACTGACCAGTGACAAGTGCAAGTGAGTGGAGTGTAGGGTTAGGAGGAGGAACTAGCAGGGAGTTTTGAAGGGAAGCAGCTGAAGAGCTATGGGAGGTGAGCACTATGGGTGTATGAAAACCTAAAGAAAGGTGTGTTTTAAGGAGAAGTCAGTTGTGCCCCATGCAGCTGGTAGGCAAATAGTAATGAGATCAGCCTGGAGTCCACTAGACTAAAAGCAGTGGCAGCCACTGGGGACAAAAGTAGAATCAATTTCAAGGAAGTGGTCAGACACTAGATTGCAGTGAGCTATGTGCATCTGCATGACCTTCTGCATTGAGTCCCCTCTATCTGGAAGGTCTTTCTCTCCATCCTGAAGTCCTGACTCATAGTAACCTGTACTCTGCATGTATTTCACTATATAGTGGCACCTTGGCTCATGAA